CAACAAATGGCGACAGAAATTGTCTTAACTAGAGTTTGCTTGATTTATGCGATACAATTTCTGACCAAAAAAAGTTTTCCTTTTCCCTATAATTTAATATTGTTTACTTATTTACATTTACATTGGCAGCCATTCAAGCGCAATTTGAATTCATTTGCTGCATGTGTTAATTAATTGATGACCACAAAAATTGTAATAATATGTCACAGCTGCATGTGGCCACATCTGATATGTGGGGTTTCGGCTCTCTCTCATAAGGGAATATAAATGAATCAACATTTGCTTTGTCGTGGTGATTAAAATGTAATTAGCTTGAATAAACCGCAATACACTCGACTAACTTGATTAATATATCCCATTGTGTGTTTTGGGCAGTAGTTAAAAAAAAATAAAAATAAAACGTACAAATACTTGTTAATGTTCCATTGGATCCATTAAAGTTAGGAACATTTATACAGCTCTTAAATGAAAATTAATAGTATAATTAGAGAATAAGTTTGATTTCTATATCCGTATATTAAAACCATGCCATTTAACAGAGCATCAATATAATATATCGACTCAATAATTAGAATGTGCCCTAGGACCAAAGATTTTCTTTCCTGCAAGTTAGACCTAAACATTAATACCAATTTGAAAGCTTTATATTAATTTAATTTTCTTAATTTAATATTTATTAAATATTTTTGTGTGTTTATATGATTGATCAGTCGGTAAATTAAAGTTGAATATAAAAGATAAACACAATGAGAATAAAAAATATGTGCTCCAATTTGATGTGCATTTGAATTTCTTCGAGTGACAGTTGCTTTGAATTTAATTGTTTTATTTATTATTTATTTTTTTACATATTTTGTATTACTTTATTAAATTGTTGCAACTAGACCAATCAATCAGTTAATTAAGTGACTGTTGAACATCCACTTTCAGGAACAATGAGAATGTAAATGCAACTAAACAAAAGTTAAGAAAAATGCTTATAGCCTGAATATATGGTATACGGATCGATCAAGACACTTACTCGCCATTAGACTGGAAAGCCAAAGGAATGGGGCCCAGCAACGCATTTGTATAAAGAAAGGTAGTAAAATATTTCCCGTAACCGAGCCCAAACGCCCGAATGTCATGATCAGCAATAGAACCATTGTTCTGCAAAGCATAGCCATATTAAGCATTAATTAGTTAATTAAAAACTACAGTAATACCTCATCAATGTGGGAAAGACGACCACACACATGCCAATAACCGTGGACGCACAAATGCCCATGACCGTCAAATAGACCGCGGCCAGCATAAGCGTCGCCAGCGTCGAGGTTGCAAAGTAGAGACCACCCACCAGGAACGTGCATAAAAAGAGACTGACCTCTGTGCGGAATAGACAAAAACATTGGCAAATAATCATATGCAAATTATGGAAACTCACTTAGTATGTGATTGGCGACACCGCGAATGCTAAGCAGGGGGAAGATGAGCAGGAATCCAACTAGGCCAATGCCAGCCACAATAATGTTGTCCCTATAGGTTTCCGGTTGCTGATGCTATACGTGTTGGGTTCATTACTTTAATGCTTGAAACTTTGGTCAATAGACCGCCTACCTACTATGTCGCATTCCTCCCTCGTTGCGGTCGTACCGTTGCGCCGCATCAAATTGAGTCCCAGGACCGCGCACATGCTCCTATCGCTGATTCCCTGCACCTCAAAGGTGTGCATTGTGGCAAAGATCTGTGGCAGCCACAGGCGCACCGAATTCACGCTGTCAATACAAAATTGATGAGCAATCGTAAGCGAGGCAAATTATAGAGATGGACGCGCGACATGTTCGTGAGTGGAGACAAATTTCCCGATACTCGCGAATAGGTTTTTTTTTTAAAGATTAATAGTAAATTTAACATAATTATCGTACATTTCCTCAAGCTCAAAATTTCAAAATTATTCAATTAAAGTTGTTATGGAAATAGAAAAAAGTTTCCTATATGCCTTTTACTCCTACCACATTATCTAGCCCACTATAAGCCAAATTAAAATATTCATTATCATATTATATAAAGAACAATTAATAGTAGCTGTATAAACCGTATAAAATAGAATAAATATTATGGAAATATTCTCATTTTTTTTAAATCTCTGGCATTTAAATTAGATTTGTGGAACTAATAGAAAACTTCTGTTATTTATCATCTATGAAAAAAAAAATAGAAATTAATATTAACTAATATCTTCGAGAGCCTTTTGATATTTGGATATATCCAGGCACTCTGATATAAGAAATTGTTAATTATTAAATTGATGAATAAGATTGAAAATTTCTATGCTAGATACGCATTAATCAAATGCATGTTACGCGCCCATTTCTAAAGTGAATTTACCACATGATTTGGCAAAAGTGCAGGCAATAGACGCGCACGGATAATCCCAGATAGGGACTGGTGCACATGGGCTTCAGTTGTTTCAGGCCATCAATAAATTTACGCTTGGTTTTACGGAAGCGCAGCGCCACCGAGTCGCGTCTGTTCGCATCCTGAACGTCGTCGGTTCGCTCGGGCGTGGCATCCGTCAGAGTTTTGATCTAAACCAGGTTTTTGCCGAATGTATGGGCATAAAAGAACCGATTAAAGACGTATAGCTAACTCACCGGATAGGAGTCGCGGCTCTTGCGCTTATTCACCGCATAAATGCGCTGCAGGGAAGCCAGCGCCTTGCTGTAGTAGCCCTGGGACATAAGGAACTTGGGACTCTCCGGCAGAAAGATGTGCAGAAAGCCACTCAACAGGCTGGGCACTGAGGTGAGCGCCAAAAAGATTTGCCAAGTGTGAACTGCATAGATGGATTTCAATCAAGTCACATTTGGTTTGTCACAATTGTCATTAAATCAACCTACAGCGCAGTTTACCAACAGTAAAGTAAATGTGCACCGGCAGCAGAAAGTAGGCCATAATCGGCAAAGTCAGCGCACCGATGGAAATGCTTAAGCCGACGAACAGCATAATGTAGTGCCTGTGCTGCCTGCCATGGAATTCGGCCAGATAGCTGACGACCACCGCAAATGGACCGCAGATACTGCAAAGAATCAAAAATGGTTTGGATAAGCAGATTATGTGCGAATAGCTCGATACCCACACTAGTCCATCGAAGAACTTAAATATCATCAGCTGCGAGGAGTTTTGACTTAGGGCCGAGCACAGCACACAGATACCATCGATCCAACCGCCAGTGATGAGAACCAGGCGACGTCCCATTGTATCCGCCACAAAGCCCCATGGCATGGCCGAGATAATCATGCCTGCAGCAGAGCAGCAGTCGAATTGTTCCTATACGGGATTCATTTGTGTTCTATATGCCTTACCTGCATAGGTCACAGCATTCATCAGACCCTTGTCCAGCACGGTCAGCTTCAGCTCACACTCCGCTGTTGGCATTACGTACGACATGGACGAGGCGGAGAAGACCATGGCCGATAGACAGGGCATGGCACAGATCATAATGAATACATTGAATAGCCCAAAACCGCATTCAGCAATCGCCGTCTCGAAATCCGCAATTTTGTTACCCGAATCGCCTGCGTGAGCCATCTGAATCGTAAGTTTATATATATGTATATGGGCTTGGTTATAACCAATTCCCACTAAAAGTGACAAAACTAATTTTGAAAATAAACTGTAGGCTGTCTAGGTTCAAACATTTCAAATTTTAAGAAAAATATGCTTGTGCTTAACTATGTAACAGATCGAAGATAAATATATACAAATGTATATTTTCGATCAGGATAACTAATTGAGTTGAACACGAACCAATTTTAGAAATTGCATCAAATAATGATTTCGAATTTGGAACACAAGTATACGCCGTGTACCACAAACGTAACATCGATAAAAAATCGATGTACAAATCGCTAATTCCTGAAATATCAAAATAATCGGATAATAATCCCCAAAGTGATTGGCAAATAACTTTTCCATAGAGTAGAGCTAAATGAAGAAAGAAAAGCACAGCCACTGGCGCATCGCAGCTAGATGCAGGGTATCTCAAAGTCGGGCACTGGCCACGTCGGGTTTCTTAACTGATATTTTTAACTGATAATAACAACTTTCTGCACAATAAATTAATTCCACTATTCAATTATTTCCACATCGTTAGTGCCGCATTATTTGAGTGCACCGATTTCCATACAAGATTTTCCCGACTGCGCCATTATTGAACGCCCGAAATAATTGGTGTTAATGAGATTGGCATATTGAAATTTTCCATATATATTTGTTTTTTATTTTTTTGCTCATCCGCCCAAACATTAAATTTCGCTGTGGGACTTGTTTTCCATATTTGTAAGTTGAATCCATATATGAATTAATTAAACTGTTTGATTAATAATACGTCTCTGGGATTATGCAATAAAATATAATTTACATATTCATTGACTGCAGCGCAATTTTATGTTGATCGATTATGTATGTATATATTCCACAATCCCTTCAATATCCAATCGGCGAAATAATTTCAGCAAATTTATTAAAATTATTTTACATAGCTTAAATGCTCAATATGAATTTCCTGAGTATTTTTTTTGCATGCAATAATAATTTGAATGAATATAAATGTATTATATATTTTTTTTTTCTGTGAAAAAAGTTTTACACTTTCATCTTCAGTTTATGGATTTAATAAATATACATAAATATCTAAACTAGGATCTTGAAGTGGATGACAAATTAGCTTTTGCAAGAGTATAAAAATGTTCGGATTATCTTATCGTAATCTTCAGTTGAAGCAGCTTTTTAGATAAACAACCATTGTAAACATCTAATATATACACTTAATATAGGTATGCAAGGAGATATTGACAAGGATTCTTATTAAAATTTGTTAACAATTGCATAATACAAAATCTGCTGAAATGAAAACTTGACATGCATACATTTTTTATTTCACAGTATATATATATTTATTTGATACGACAAAAGACGAGCACTAAAAAACAATAAACTAAACGAAAAAAATAATATATACACGCTAAGCTATACAATACTTTTTACAAGTTAAGAGCTACAATAAAATAATAAAGTGCAATTGTCCGTAATTGTAATAAAAACGATTTAAAATACAATCCTAAAAGCCGCGCAATATGACAACATTTAAGTAAAGGCCGCTTTTGTGGGATTGGGAATGAAAATTGAGAGCACGGCAGCAACTGCAAATAAAAAAACGTTTAAAAAACAAATACGACAATAAAAAATATTGTAGTTGGGCAAACGTACGCAACATGACGGAGGCGACCATCACAAAGGGCGGCACACAGCCGATCTGTATTAGAACCGGAAAGAGTAGATTGCCGGAGAGAGCGCCCAAGCGACCGCACATCATGGCAGTGGCCACCACCAATGAGCTACAACAAAAGTAAATATCATAAACATAGATCAATCGGCACGTGGAAAAGTGCGTCTTACCGCAACTGGGTGGGAAAGAGCGCGACAACGGCGCCCAGCAGCGAGGAGACGGCAATGCCCGCCACAGTGACAAAGGCCGAAGAAATGACAATCGTCGAGACACTGTTGATGGACCAATAGAGCGCTAGGCCAAGGGCTCCCGATATGAATAGACCGTAAGCTATGTGGAAGTTAAAAAAATATAATTAAAATACAAATTATAATTATAAGTGAAGAAAAGAAATAACTAGAAAGAGTGCTCTAGTCGGGAGTGCCCGACCTGGAGATACCCTGAATCTAGCGCCGAGCTGTCCTTAGAAGCTTTCGAATCTTTCTCTATTCACATGTATTTATTTATTTGGGGAAATGGCGGGAACTATAAAAAAACTGAAATATTCCTAATCTATATATTCCTTAAACTATATAAGAACCTACAAACCAAGTTTGATGTATCCAGCACATATAATCTTTGAGTTATGACTTAAAGACCACGCCCTAAAATAACTTTATTCGATATTATGAAAATTAAAGGAGATTGTTCTATATAGCTATATAGTATAGTGATCATGCCAGCAACAAAAAGATATGCATTTTCAGGACGATAAAACTGAATGGTTAGTTTGCCTGGAAACAGACTTCGGACATGGCTATATCAACTTGGCCTTTGATCAAGAATATTTATACGTAAGTTCTAAAAGGTATACAAATGTAAATAATAATGGATTAAATATAAATAAAAATAATATGACTTACTTAGCAAACGCTTGGCGCCAGCCATACGTATTATAGCTCCAGCAAAGAAATAACCAGCAAATCCACAAGCCGAGACGATAATGTTGTTGATATACATATCCATTGAAATCACTTGGGGCTGTAAGAGAGAGAGAGAGAGAGAGAGAGAGAGAGAGAGAGAACGTCAGAAGGATGCAACAGAGTTAAGAAACAGATCCCTTGACTAGGCTGAACTAATATTCGCACCTCAGAACAGGCATTGTTGTAATCCGACAAGGTCTCAGCTGTTTTATTGACGCTGTACTCGAGTATGGTGCACATGCTGGCCGAGTCGCCATCATTGGCGTGGACAGCCTCATAGTCGGCCATTGAGGCGAACAACTGGGGCAGCCAGAGGCGTATGGTGTTCATGCCCAGAAATATGCAGAACTGCATCGTGTAGCAGTGCATCGAGAGGAGCAGCAGGGGCTTGTGGAACATGGGCTTCATCTGTTGCATGCCGGCACGCAGGCTCTCCAGCAGGGTGCGCGAGGGTCGCTTTGTGGCAGCCTTCTCGGCCGGCTTCTCCTCAATCGTGTAGATAGCCTCGTCCACCTGAGCATCGCGACTGGGCACCTCCAAGACAAGCGTTTTGATCTGTGCAAAGAAAAAAACTGAGAAACTGTGTGATGCCAGGGCGTAAATGTACCCACTGGATAGGTGTCCTTCGGCTTGCCCGTATTGATCTGGTAGATCTTTTGCAGCACCAGCAAGGCTTCCGCATTGCGGCCCTGTGCCATTAAGAATCTGGGACTCTCGGGCATTAGCCACATTATGAGACCGCTTATCAAACTGGGCAGACCGCATATAAACAAAAAGATCTGCCAGTTGTGAACTGAAATGAACACAAAGTGCAGTAAATAAAATGATCATATATACACTCGCCCTCAACTTACTCTTAAGACTGCCAAAGAAGACAAAGTCCCAGTCCCGGGGAAAGGTGGCCCAGGCCAGCATGGGCAGCAGCAATGTGGAGGCGCTTGTTATCATGCCCACAACCATCAGCACATGAGATCTGTGCTTGGGTCCATGCATTTCCGTCAGATACGTGAAGAGCACCGCTGCCGGGCCGTTGACACTGTAAGCCAACAATTAGATTTTACCATTATCTCTCAACTAAATAAATAACATAGATAGCGCCAGTTACTTACATAAGTCCACCGAGAAACTTGAACGTCACCAGCATTATAAAGTTTTGGCTCAGCGAGCTGCCAAACACACAAATCGAGGTCAACAAATAGCCATAGACGAGCACCTTGCGACGTCCCTTCGTATCGGCCAAATAGCCCCAGGGTATGGCCGATATTATCATGCCCGCATATGCACAAGCATTCAGTACGCCCTTATCGGTTAATGTTAAATGAAGATCACACTCGGCTATAGGCAATATATACGACATCGTCGACGACTCGAACATATTCGCGCAGGTCGCCGGTATTGCCATTATCAGCAGTATCAGATTGAAGCGTCCAAAGCCAGATGCTATCATAGCCTTGTCAAAATCTGCTGGCTCATCCTCTGGAGCGCCCGATGTGGCCACCGCAGTGCTGTTCGAATTGCCATCTGTATCGGTATCGGAGTCTGCAAAATTGTTGGATTCAAATATTAACCCATTAATTTTTGTTTATTTTGTTTTTTTTTTTTATTGAGAATCTGGCTGTGCAGTTTTTTTATATTCTTTAATTTAGAATTAGTAATATAATATCCTTTTTAAACAATTCACCAGCATCATATTTTTTTAATTGTTGCTTAATATTCCAAGAAAGCATATCGTTTAAATATTTTGCAATTTTTTTCAATTCCTGGTTTATCTTTATAAATTTATATAGTTTTTTTTATTTGATAAAACACAATTTTAAGATATCTTTATTCTTTTTTACGATACAATAAACTTTTGTTTAACTTCGATTATAATTTTAACAAGTCATTGTTTAGTTTTTATTTTTTAATAATTTAAAATAAATAATAATATATCCTTTTTCAACAATTCACCATTGTTACTCAATATTCCAATAAAGCATATCACTTAAATAGTTTCCAATTTTTTTCAATTCCTGGTTTATCTTTATAATTTTAAAGGGGTTTTTTTTATTTGATAAAACACAATTTTAATCTGTCTTTATTCTTTTTTACGATATAATAAACTTTTGTTTAACTTCGATTATAATTTTAACAAGTCATTGTTTAGTTTTTATTTTTTAATAATTTAAAATAAATAATAATATATCCTTTTTCAACAATTCACCAGCATTATATTTTTTTTAATTGTAGCTCAATATTCCAAATATTTTGCAAATTTTTTCAATTTTTGGTTTATCTTTATAAATTTATATAGTTTTTTTATTTGATAAAACACAATTTTAAGATATCTTTATTCTTTTTTACGATACAATAAACTTTTGTTTAACTTCGATTATAATTTTAACAAGTCATTGTTTAGTTTTTATTTTTTAATAATTTAAAATAAATAATAATATATCCTTTTTCAACAATTCACCATTGTTACTCAATATTCCAATAAAGCATATCACTTAAATAGTTTGCAATTTTTTTCAATTCCTGGTTTATCTTTATAAATTTAAATGGTTTTTTTTTATTTGATAAAACACAATTTTCATCTGTCTTTATTCTTTTATACTATATAATAAACTTTTGGTTATCTTCGATTAGAATTTGAACAAGTCATTGTTTAGTTTTTTATTGAAATTTATAAATATTGCAATTATTAACGCTCGCCTTAGTTCACATTTTCCTTTTATAATGTTATTTTCTTTTTTGTAAGTTATAGATCACATTTCAAGCATTACCTTTTGCTTTGTCGCGGTTGACACTTTCAATATTGTTCTCGGCCATATTTTTGTACTATACGATTCCTTATGGTTGATTTGAATATCACAATTTCTATTAATTCAGTAATTTATGGCACCAGTCAATTGAAAATGTCCAGTTTCGTTATTGAAAGGCGCACAACAATTAATAGTTACAAATTATACTATATAGTTATTAATTTATCACAAATGTTTCACGATTTCCGAGCACTTCGCGTGTCAGCTAGAAAATGATTCGCTCTTATGAATGACACTTGGTTTTTATCATCTTGTGCAGTGGAAAATTGAAGATTCATTTAAATTTTACACTTTCTTATCATAGATTTCACAGCGTCAACATGCTTTCGTCGTCGTTGCCATAAAGATAATAATCACATAAAAATTTATTTAACCCACTGAAAGCGTTGTATTTAAATTCCCCTACGCATTCAGCTTATTTACATTGTATTATATTCATTTAAATAATAAATATAGTCTAAAAATTCAACAGAAAAAAAGGGGTATGGGCAGGTTAATAATCAATGTAAATAATTTACAAATATGTATTTTATAAAATCAAAATTAATTTAAAAAACTACAATTCTTGGCCTAGCATGGGCTAAACTAAATAGGTATTTTGTCTAGCCATTCTCCAGTCTTATGCAGAGCCTTAACAACGCTTGGCTTATCAGTGTGAGCCCCAAGCAATGATAAGCTATAAGGTAGCAACTACGATAGCTTTGGATAACTGACGTTTCGGGGGGCTGGGGAGCACGTGTTAAGCACGGCGTGTGCTGACTTAGCAGTTATGAATGTTTACCAAACTACTTACATGATTTGTTTATTAAAGAATAACAATAGCCATAAAAATATAAATAAATGCTTGGCCAGGCAACATTATTGTTTCAAAAGATACGTCATCAAGATGGTGAAATCCCATTGTGGATAGTAGCTTGTAGCTACTCATGATAGGGTGCACGACATATTCTGATGACAAATTTCGCACATTTTAGGATTCGGCAATGACTGTCAGAAAGAAGAATTTAATGAATGCAGTTTACATGTCGCTTATTTCAATGTGTATTATAAACATGTTCTAGAAAATATAATAAATTTATTTCTTATACATCTAATTATGGTACAGTTCTTTTTATATATATATTTCAGGTAAGCCTAGGCAGATTTGCTAGACCGACAATATATCTCTCCAGCATATATATATATATATATATAGATGTCTGTGTCTCAGTCAATGGCATCCACCAGCTTGCACATCATGCGATCATGCTGATAGCTGGGATCGTTTTTAGCCGCTGCATTTGAATCCAAGGGATCCACTTCCATTTTGACTTTGGCGCCGCCATGCTCATCCTCGTCAAATAGCGTGGGCAGTGCGGAGAAGGCGCTGTTGACAATATCACGAACACGTTCCAAGTGCTTTTGAAAACGCGTGGCCGTCTCCACGCGTTGCCTTTTCTGCATTTCCATCATTACACGCAAAGTTTCGCGCGCCTGATGGGGTCTGAACTCATTCAATAAATGATGCATATTTACAAAGAGCAGACTCAGGTCATCAATCTGTACATAGAAAACATATTAATTATATGTAAATAACATGGACTTATCTACACACTTTCTCTGTACGCCTGGGACTGTCCGGATTTAATATCAAAAAGTCAATAAGATCCAAAAAATTGACGAGCAGCGAGTGATTCAGCTTCTTGAGCTCCTTGCGACGGTCAAAGTGAATGGGTATGAGACGTTTGATGTTCTGCGATTCCAGAGAGCGTATCATCTCGTCGTTGTTGTACTGTATGCCAAACATGCTGTACACTTCATGTTGTGATGGCGGCGGCGGCGGACGCGGTGCCCGATTTCTCCTTATGTTCTCCTCCGTGTAGTTGCTGATGTACCGCTCCGGCGGCATGGGCAAACTAGAAACCTGTGTTTCAGGGGTCGACATCTTGCGCGTCTATTTTTATAACCAGTAGCACTTTTGGGATGTGTTTATTTTATTAAAAACAAATAAAAAAAATACATTGCTGGCAGTGTGACCGTTGGCGAAAATCAGTAAAAATACCCAAACAAAAATACCGAACCTAAATCTAATATTAAAATACCAACTTTGAAAAAATCTTTATTATGATTCTCTACACATTAGGTTTTTAGTTCCTGATTATTTAATTTGGACCTTCCAAAAATACAATTTTTTATCAGATGCTGCACTTATGTAAGGCAAGCGATGGTGCCAAGCCAGACCACCATAGGTTTTCAGTGGCGACTCAACTAGCGGCACCGTTGACTTTGCCACAAAAACTTTCAACGTAAGATCCGGACGACCAATGCTGGCCATTGCGATCTCTGTGCTGCCTGGAGCGAAGCGCACAATGCGACCGCCATCTTCGTGCACCTGCTTTATATCGGCTGGGACAAATGGACGGCTCAGATCCCAAGTGACAATATCTCCGCCAGCCAAAGCCGTTACAAACAGCCTGTTGCTGTTTGCCCAATCCGCGGACATGAGCGGAAATTTCGGCGATTCAACGGACACAACTGTTTGCTTGCTGCGCACATTATACAAATGGATAATACCTAAAGGCAAGTGTGTTAATAGTAGCTCCAATGTACAATCATAAGTAATCCATACCACGCTTCTCAGCCACAAGCACTTTGTTGGGATCCTCCGGATGGTTTTTAATTGATACACCCGCCGATGACAAGCAGAAGGTGATAACGTTCTCAAAAGTCGTTGTGATGTTCCAAAATTTGCAGGTGAAGTCATCGCTCACAGAAGCAAGGAGCTCGCCTTCGCAGACCCAGGCAATGTCGTTCACATAATTGCTGTGTCCTCGCAAGGATTGCACGCTGCTAAACTGATTTAGGTTTGTGTGGAAAAGTGTCATGCCGCATTTCCCAATCGAGGCGCAAATGGTTACTTTGTTTGGCGTGCAATTCAGAGAGGTATCTGGCGAGAAGGCGATCTTGTGACAGCGTGCGTCTTCATCTGGTATCTCCATGTCCTGTAAATGATTCCACACGAAATCGCCACTCTCCTCCTAAGCATAATAAAATAAGAAGTTCTATGTTATGAATATTGTATTTCTTGTACTTGCCGGCAAACTAATTAAAATCAACGAGAGGTGTTTTTGTTGAGCAACACAGATCAGGTTGTAGGCAAAGTCGTTTTCGCATATTTCGTAGCAACTGATGGCTTCTCCCATTAATATGCTGTGATCGGGATCTGTTACTGTTCGCATTTTTATTTATATTATTAATAATGTAAAAGATGCAACAAATTGCCGGCGCCAATATGTTTACGCATGTGTTGGTTAATTTCGCTTTAGATTGCCACAAGTTGGCAGCCTTTTGATTTGACAACACTCATGTTAGATAATCGCAGCCAACTTCAGTTTTTTTTTTAATGATTAACAGCACTGCTCACAGCAAGCGTAGCTGAGTTCTCTTTTCAAGCATTCACTTCCTTTCTTTCTGTTTCAGCGTCTGAAGTGAACGGACGTCATGGTAAGTTTAGCTCCGTGAAAATTAAAAAAATATAAAAATTCTTGAAATATAAATTAAAGATTAAATATTAATTGTAAATTAGTTAAATGCAATGAGAGCATCGATTGAAGTAGCCTATGATGCTAAACTGAATTTAGTTTTTATATTATTTTTGACACGTGTGTGCAGCTTTAAATTAATTATGCATACATAACCTTAAAGAAAATTTTCAAACAAAATTCAATACTCCATAGTAAATCCACAAATAATTAAGAAATTTGTTAACATTTGCAGTCTCATCGTAAATTTTCTGCACCTCGTCATGGCTCGATGGCCTTCTACCCCAAGAAGCGCTCCTGTCGTCATCGTGGCAAGGTTAAGGCCTTCCCCAAGGATGATGCCACCAAGCCAGTGCATCTGACTTGCTTCATCGGCTACAAAGCCGGCATGACGCACATTGTGCGCGAAGCCGATCGTCCTGGATCAAGTGAGTAATACATTTTTTCATATATGTTTATATAGAATTTTCCATGATGAGAAACAGTTAAATTTTTATGGTTAGAACACATATGATCTACCGTGATTATGACTTAACTAGGGCGGACTGATTTGCATTAAGCAAAATCCAACATTTTTTGTCGCCTGAAAACCACGTGCTTAACCTCAAAATTCATTATTGTTTTACAGAGATCAACAAGAAGGAGGTCGTCGAGGCTGTGACCATTTTGGAGACGCCTCCAATGATTGCTGTTGGCGCCGTTGGTTATATCGAGACTCCATTCGGTCTGCGTGCTCTGGTCAATGTCTGGGCCCAGCACTTGTCTGAGGAGTGCCGTCGTCGCTTCTATAAGAACTGGTATGTAACAAAATGTCGGACGCCATTTTTTTTTTTTTTCGAATGGTCGCACACGTTGCAAGTTGCATATGCTGCATGCTGCTGGATGATGATGAGATGGTATCGGAATGACCTTTGTCGAAAAACCTTCTACCATTTCTGCTGCCTTCCTTCTGATCGCAGTTGCAATATAATTTGCGCTTAATGCTGCGTGTGCGATGCGGACCTTTATTTAGACATTAACTAACTTAAACGATACTCATAAAGTTCTTGGATCAGTTCGCTGAGAGAGCTTTTCAAATCTATGCAAGTCGTGTGAGCTGCATTGACCAATAATGCGTCAATTGTGAGTAAGCACGTCATGGAAGATGTCATCTCCGCTCGCTTTCAATTGCGATGAGGTGCGCTTCCCGTTTTATCTTTCGCCCGCACAGACTTGATGCAGCGTTCGATCGATCGACTCTCGGCTCTGTATTAATTCGCAACGTCTCCAAATTCGTTCCAATCAGGTACAAGAGCCAGAAGAAGGCTTTCACCAAGGCCAGCAAGAAATGGACCGATGATTTAGGCAAGAAGAGCATCGAGAACGATTTCCGTAAGATGCTGCGCTATTGCAAGGTCATCCGTGTGATTGCCCATTCGCAGGTAATTATGCTCAAAAATGTATTTAATTTAATTAGTGCACGACGTCCTTGGTCTTGTTGCGCCGACTGTGCTTCGCGGCCGGTCGGTGCGCCTGGCCTAAAAAGCATTCGCGCTGTGTCCCTCAATGCACAGTTCATGGATGCAACGTCGTAGATTAAATTGCCCTTCGGGTGGCGATGCTTGATATATTCCAGTAACGGTGCGCAGCCGCTCAGGCGATGAACGCACGGTTAAACCATATCACGCACAGTCCTAAAATATCGCAATACAATTTTTGGTAATAACTTGTTATTTATTCTCTTGTCGCGCAGATCCGTCTGATCAATCAACGCCAGAAGAAGGCGCACATCATGGAGATCCAGCTGAATGGTGGCTCCATTGAGGATAAGGTTAAGTGGGTGCGTGAGCATCTCGAGAAGCCCATCCAGGTCCGCAATGTGTTCGGCCAAGATGAGATGATCGATTGCGTTGGTGTTACCAAGGGTAAGGGATTCAAGGGTGTCACCTCACGTTGGCACACCAAGAAGTTGCCCCGCAAGACGCACAAGGGTCTGCGCAAGGTTGCCTGTATCGGTGCCTGGCATCCGTCCCGCGTGTCCACCACCGTGGCACGTGCCGGTCAGAAGGGTTACCATCACCGTACCGAAATCAACAAGAAGATCTACCGTATTGGTGCCGGCATCTACACCAAGGATGGCAAGGTAAGCAAACAAGACGATTACATATAACTCTCTCGCTCTCATTTTTTATGATGATAAAACCTTTTAAAAATATTGACATCGAAGAAAATAAAAAGGTTGATTAACCGTGATTTTTATAATGATAGGACTGATAACATTTAACCCAATCCATTTTTCTTTTCTTAGTGATCCACTCGTCTAATATATGTTTCTTTGCTTTCCAATTTGCAGGTCATCAAGAACAATGCCTCTACTGAGTACGATTTGACCGACAAGAGCATCACGCCCATGGGTGGCTTCCCCCACTATGGTGAGGTCAACAACGACTTCGTCATGATCAAGGGCTGCTGCATTGGCTCCAAGAAGCGCATCATCACCCTGCGCAAGTCCCTGCTGCGTCACACCAAGCGCTCGGCTCTGGAACAGATCAAGCTCAAGTTCATCGACACCTCGTCGAAGATGGGTCATGGTCGCTTCCAGACCCCGGCCGACAAGCTGGCCTTCATGGGTCCTCTCAAGAAGGATCGTCTTAAGGAGGAAGCAGCTGCCACCACCAGCGCTGCCGCCGCCGCACCTACCACCGCCTAAGCTTTGGCGCAATCTTTGTATAACATCAATACAAAATGTACTTGTTTGGTTTATTGCTGGCTACTACCGTCTGCGTTGCGGTAGAGTCGGCGCAATAAAGAAATGTGGTTTTGAATAAGCTAATAACAACTTAAAAGCAAATTGTATTTATATGTTATCAGTTTATAAATAGCTGTACGCTATTTGTATAAGATTTCCTCGTATATACACATATTCATGTACCCATTCCTCATATGCTGGTAGTTGGGAGTCGATTGGACCGTATAACTTTATCATACATCTGCTATCTCTTGAATATTATTCGAATCAAACAATCTCATTTTGATAATCGACAGATGCACTGAGTTAAAGGCACTTTTGCTATGGCAACCCACAGTAAAATATCGTAGTATGGATTTGCATTTTTTTATTGCGCTTTGTCGATTATGTCATGATATTACAATTCAGATATCAATAAAATCTTTTTTCTATATATATATATGTGATGGACCACTCCTTAGAACACCTTGATGTCGGGAACGATCTTCTCGTTGTCGTAGATCTCCTTGGCATAGCACAGATTGGGATAGTCGAAGGCGGCACCATAGCGATTCTTGCAGCCCGAGGTGGCCTTATCGCCGGGAGTGTACACGGGCTGGCCAATCACATTGGTCGTGGCAAAGTTGCAGGTCAGCACAAAGTGGTTGTAGTAGTCGCGGGAGAAGCGCACAGCGGCACAGCCCACATGGGTGTTCTTCTCGGACACGGCGATGGTGAACTTGGCTACTTTCTTGTTTGGCAAATCCTCTGGGAAACTGGACAGAATCTCAGGCGAAGCATTGACACGCTCACCGAACCAGTTCTCAATCTGCTCCTTGACAATCTCGGCATCGGTGTACTCGGACTCGGGACCGCTGTAGCTGAAAATGGCATTGTTCTGGCCAGCGTAGGCGAAGCGTTCGGTACTGCGGCACTTGTCTGGCAGTGACTGGCAAGTCTTCACATTGAAGAGGGCCAGATGGGTCAGCTCCTCGCACCATGTCATCTTTGCCATGCGTGCAGCCTTGGGCAGTCCTTCGATTCCACCTCCGGCAACCTTGTTGCGCAGCTCATTGAACAGGGTCAGGATCAACTTCTCGTGTGGCTGAATGTTAACCTCCCGCACATCCTTGGGGCATTCCTCGCTAAAGTTCTGCAAGGCATTTGTGCTTATTTAGGGAGCTGGATTGGATTAGATACTTACTCCTTTGTTATTGCAGGCTATGTGCTTGTCCAGGCAAGTGGGCAAGGCGCAGTAGTCAATAGCAGAGGCAATGCCTGCCAGGACAGCCAACAGAAGAAATACTTGCATTGTTAAGGTTGTTGTGTTTACCAACGGTTAACTGATGATTGACTGGTGCAACAGTCGGGTATTTATAGCACCGGGATTACGTATGTTACCGAGTGACAGCAGTTATTGAAGCTTGAAACACATCTTCCTAGAATCATGGCACATTCACACACACACACACACACACACATGCATGCATACATGTTTATTCAGAACTTGAGCTGTATATTATAACAACTGAGCTTAGTAGGAATGTCTGCTTAATCAAATCCATTCGGACATCTGCGTACTCGGCCATTGGCGAATTGATTCACTACCTGGTAATAACTTCACACATGTGTGATTCTTTGTTCACCTAATGGAGCCCAGTCGGGTATAAATTGATCTACTTTCGTGGTCATTCTTCAGTTGCAAGACAACATTCAACAAATAAGATGTTCTCTAAAGTATCCGCCTTCCTACTGCTGGCCACAGCTTTAGTCGGCCTAGTCGCTTCAATTGACTACTGCGCCTTGCCCACTTGCCTGGACAAGCACATAGCCTGCAATAACAAAGGAGTAAGTATATAATCCGCTCCAGCTCCCCAAATAAGCACAAATGCCTTGCAGAACTTTAGCGAGGAATGCCCCAAGGATGTGCGGGCGGTGAACATTCAGCCACACGAGAAGTTGATCCTGACCCTGTTCAATGAGCTGCGCAACAAGGTTGCCGGAGGTGGAATCGAAGGACTGCCCAAGGCTGCACGCATGGCAAAGATGACATGGTGCGAGGAGCTGACCCATCTGGCCCTCTTCAATGTGAAGACTTGCCAGTCACTGCCAGACAAGTGCCGCAGTACCGAACGCTTCGCCTACGCTGGCCAGAACAATGCCATTTTCAGCTACAGCGGTCCCGAGTCCGAGTACACCGATGCCGAGATTGTCAAGGAGCAGATTGAGAACTGGTTCGGTGAGCGTGTCAATGCTTCGCCTGAGATTCTGGCCAGTTTCCCAGAGGATTTGCCAAACAAGAAAGTGGCCAAGTTCACCATCGCCGTGTCCGAGAAGAACACCCATGTGGGCTGTGCCGCGGTGCGCTTCTCCCGCGACTACTACAACCACTTTGTGCTGACCTGCAACTTTGCCACGACCAATGTGATTGGCCAGCCCGTGTACACTCCCGGCGATAAGGCCACCTCGGGCTGCAAGAATCGCTATGGTGCCGCCTTCGACTATCCCAATCTGTGCTATGCCAAGGAGATCTACGACAACGAGAAGATCGTTCCCGATATCAAGGTGTTCTAAGGAGTGGGAGAAGGAGCGCATTAATAGTTGATGATTCACAATTTTGAAATGTAATACAAAGCCTTGAATATAAAAAAGAATGCATTTGAATGAAACATACAAATAACGGCATAAAAAACCTTTTCTATTCTAACTTTTAAATAAGTTGGCAGCTCCAACGAATTCAGTAAAAAAAAATATGTTACGAGAGGCGCTGCGAATCGGCAGCAGGCGCAGCTACAGCTACAAATCTGTACGTCGTCCTAATCTGAGTGCGGCTTCTGGCGCCAAAAATGTGGATGTGCAGGAAAAGCAGAAGCCGGAGCAGACGGCGACCACACAGTCTGTGGGCAATGGCAACAGTACTCTGACCAAGCAGTTGACGGCCAAAATGCTGGCCACGGGACCGATAACCGTGGCCGAGTACATGCGCGAGGTGCTGACGAATCCGCAAGGCGGTTACTACATGAATCGGGATGTGTTTGGGCGTGAGGGTGACTTCGTAACATCGCCGGAAATTTCACAGATCTTCGGAGAGGTGAATACTGTGCACTTTACTGGGTTAATTTAAATAACAATAACATTGCCCGCCGCCAGCTTGTAGGCGTTTGGTTGATGAACGAATGGCAGAAGCTGGGAAGCCCATCGCCCTTTCAGCTGGTCGAATTGGGACCAGGACGTGGCACACTGGCGCGCGATGTGCTCAAGGTGCTGTCCAAATTCAAGACGGGCGCCCAGTTCACCATGCATATGGTCGAGATTAGTCCGTTTCTAAGCACGGCGCAGGCCCAACGTTTTTGCTACAAGCACGAGACGGTGCCGGAAGAGGCTCAGCTGCCATACTACCAGATTGGCACCACGGCCAGTGGCATCCAGGCCTATTGGCACCACCGGCTGGAGGATGTGCCGCCGGGCTTTTCGCTGGTGCTGGCGCACGAGTTCTTTGATGCGCTGCCCGTGCACAAGCTGCGGCTGGTCAACGACCAGTGGCAAGAGGTGCTCATCGATGTGGCCCAGGCTCAGAACACGAGCTCACAACCCGCTGATTTTCGCTACGTTGTGTCCAAGGCGCAAACGCCGGTTTCGCGTCTATTTAAACCTGTGCCGCAGGAGACGCGCAACCAGCTGGAGTACTCGCTGGAAGCAGAGCGCCATGTGGGCATGCTGGCGGAGCGTTTGGAGCAGCACGGTGGCATTGCGCTAATCATGGACTACGGCCACTTTGGCGATAAGAAGGACACATTTCGCGGCTTCAAGCAGCATGCACTGCACGATCCGCTGCTGGCGCCGGGCACAGCGGACCTTACAGCCGATGTAGACTTTCGGCTCATCAAGCACGTGTCGGAGACGCGCGGCCACATTCACTGCTGTGGCCCAGTGCAGCAGGGCGACTTTCTGAAGCGCATGCAGGGCGAGGTGCGCCTGGAGCAGCTGCTGGCCCATGCGCTGCCCGAGAATCAGGACATTATACGCTCCGGCTATGAGATGCTCACCGATGCCAAGCAAATGGGCAGCCGTTTCAAGTTTCTGGCCATGTTCCCGGGCGTAATGGCCGCCCACCTAGACAAATATCCCGTGGCTGGCTTTGGATAATATAAGTTTTGTATTTATATATATATATATATGTAATCTGTTCTATACATGATTTACTGTTAATGTTTCAATCGAATGCTATTTCTTCTGGAATGCTGCGTTAATGGTCTGCATCTCGCCGCTGGTGAACTGCAGCACAGCGCTGATGGCGTTCAACATGTGACGTTTGTCATCGGCATCCCGAGTGACAATGAAGCTAATGATGACGTTCTTCAGGTACTCCAAATTGGCGCCTTCGCGCGTCTTGCTGCGCTCCAGTCTGCATTGGAAGATTATAAATGAAAAATAAGCGCACGCTGGCTTTACCTAAGGTCACGACTCACCTGTCCACCTGCTCCTCGAGCAACTCGATCTTCTCGTGCATCTCCTGCTGCGCGGTGACCTTGTCCTGTATAGCCTTGCGCAGCGTGGACTCGGCCGCGTATTTGGATTTGCGTAGCGTTGTGATTTCAATGTCCTTTCGGGCCAGCTCATTGGCATAGTGCAGCATGTGACAGTTTTCGCTTAAGGAAAGCTTTTTCGGCTTCACCTTAAGCTTTGCCTCGCGTTCTCCCTCCACTTCAACACTGTCTGCATCCGAGGAATAGGCGAATGCTTCACTGGCATCTAGGGGCGATGTGTTGGGCTTGTGAAACACCTCGAACGAGGTTTGCAGCGTTTTAATCTCCTGCTCCTTCTCGTCGAGCAGCTGTAATGAACGCTGCCGCTGCTTTTGGAGCAGCTGCTCCAGTTCGTTAAGCTTGCAGCGTGTCTCGTTCTCCAGCTCCGCTTTCGCCTCCTGCCACTTGGCGCGCTCGTTTTTGAGCGCTAGACGCATCTTGTCGCCCTGCTGCTTCAGTTCCTGCTCGGCCTCATCTATATTGCGATTGAGCACCTGCACCTTGTCCTGCAGCGTCTGTATGTGCGTCTGTTGCAGACGAATCTTCTGTTCTAGCTGCGAGCGTTGCTGCTTGCCGTTCTCCAGCAATTGCTGCAAGCTCTGCAGCTGTTGCTCGCAGTGCACGTGGCTATCGACGGTTGCGGCCGCATGGCTGCTGCCCAGCACCTGGCTGAGGTCCATTGGATTGGAAGAGTGCGCATTGGCATTGGCCAGCAGCTTCTTTAGGCGCCCAATTTCATCCACCAGAGCGCTCATGTCAGCCTCGCTACCGTTGAGTAGTCGCGACGGGGGCGCTGTACGAGTTTGCGCCTGCTCAAGCTCGTGCAGCTGCTGCTTGAGCGCATGTATGCTGTCCTGATCCTGTTGACGCAAGCGATCGTAATTGCCCACCGTGCTGCTTAGCTCGGCTAGGCGTGCTTCCAGATTGGCCACACGATCCTCGTGCAGTGCTGCCTGTCGTCGGCTTTGCTCCTCGGCACGCAGCACGCGTCGCTGCTCCTGCTTGATGGCCACCGAATGCTGCTCCTTGAGCTGGTGCATCTCCTGGCGCACCTGTTGCAACAGTGCGCTGCTGTCTGTGGCAGCGGCGGCGGCCGTCGATTGCTCCGCCTTGGACTGGCATTGCTTTAGTTGGGCACGCGCCTCCTTCAGCTGCAGCTGCAGCTCCCGCAGGCGACTGTTTTCGGCCTCGTTGCTGGCGAATTGCGTCTTAAAGTTGTTCAGCTGCATCTCAATGTTCTCCTTGAGGTGGCGTTCATCCGCATACAACTTTTGCAGCTCTCGCAACATTATCATTTGATTGTTGGTCTCCTTTTCGCGTTCCTGTCGCTCGATGATCCACTTGGCCTTTACCTCGTCCACGTCATTTTTAGCACGCTGCGCTTGCTCCTTGGCCTTGGCGTGCAGCTCCTGTATGCTCTGCTCCTTTTGCGCTATCTGAGCGCGCAACTGCTTCTTGTCCGCCTGAAATGAGGCCTCCATGCGCGATTTTTCCGCCGACAGCGTGGCTAGTGAGTTCATCAGCGTTATGATCTGCGTCTGCAGCTGACCCTTTTCATCGTTTCCAGACGCATCACTGCCATTACTAGTGCCAGCAGCAATGGATCCATCGGCAGCATCGCCGCTGGCTTGGCCATCGGCTGTGACAGCGCTAAAATCGGCAGCACGTGCATCTTTGACGCCCGTAGCTTCCGCATGCGCCGCCAGGCTTGTCTCGAGGGCTTCCTTCTCCTTGAGCAGCCCCTTGTACGCAGTGACCACGTCTGTAATATTAAATTAATAAAAAATATTTTATTTTACGTTTTTTTTACTGCACAATGGATTTACCCTTGAGTCGCTTCTCGTAGCGTGACAGTTGCTCCTTCTGCGTGGTCACCAGAGCCTCCAGCTCGCGCTGTCGCTTATCCATGTCGCTTAAGTTCCAATCACAATTATAATCAAGGTTTTCTGCAACCCAAAAGAGAACTTATTTTTTCTCTCGTGGCATTTTGGTACACATTTAACTAACATGAAAGCAGCTGCGGCAGCGACTACTTCATACCCTGTACCAAAATCGGACGCCGGGGCGCTTTGTTCTGTTGTCTGTTGTCTAGTGCGTGTTATTTAAAATTATTTTGCGCTAGAGAAGCATTCAAAATATACATTTACTACGTGTAAAACATATGTACATATCTGATATAATGGGCTGACAGAATTTTTTAGGCGTAAAAATGAGAAATAAATAATTTTCTATCGGGTGTAACACATAAATGTCTTCCAAACCAATTTCAGTACTCAGCACACAAAAACTTCTTTTACTTGTTACTAAAACCTAATATACCCCATTTTATTTTCCCGTTTATTTATGTCAACAGCTGTCGGCGGTGCTGCCAACTGGTTTTATTATATTACAACTTATGCTACACTTTTCAACGCATTTCAGCGGTTATTCGTCGCCCTCCTCTTTCATCATTTTTTCGATTAGACGCTTTCGCTCCTCTGCTTGGCGCAGCTTACGCATGACTAGGTCCTCGTAATCCCGTGGCGTTGCATTGCTTGGCGCTGTCGTGGGCGCTGTTAGCTTGTCTTCAGCCAGCCGTGATACCCACTGAAAGTGCAAAGGATTTGCTGGATTGCCTTTCTCATAGGCCAGAACCATGTCGCAGGCTTCGCGTGTCTTCAGCTCCACCATGGCACGGCCGCGTATTTTTGTGTTCATGACCAGCGCCACAACCTCGCCATATTTCTTGAGGTACTGCAAGAGCTGCTCGTGCGTGTAGCCGCCGTTGCTGGCATCGCTCTTATCCGCCTTCCATTTAATCTTGATGCGATGCTGCGCAGAGTCGAATCCGGGTGTTTGTTGCTTCTGCTGGCGCTGCTGTTGTTCATTGTAGTTGCGTTTTAGTTGCTCCCGCATTGCCCGCTGCTCCTCCTCCAGAAGTTTGGAGCCCTCGCGGCGCAAGCGTTCAATTTGTTCCTGCAGCACCTCCTCATCGCTCTTACGTATTGTACTGTACGGCTGACCAACTTGCTGTTTGTCTAGCGCGGCGCGTTCCCGCTGCTCCAGTTCCTCCTTTAGCTTTTGTCGTTTGGTGTCTAGCTGTTTGGTGCGCAACTCAGCGGCCTTTTTAGCCTTGAGTACCTTGTCGTAGGCGGCGCGCGCAGTTACATCAGTAAGTATTTCCAGCGCCTTCGACAGCTCATGAAAGCGTTCCGCCGCTTGTGGATTGTCAGGATTCTTATCCGGATGACAGTCGAGTGCGCGTTTTCGATACGCTTTGCGTATTTCAGCCTGCTCGGCTTCGATGGATACGCCAAGCAGGTCGTACAGGTTGACATCACTATACTTTTTGTTGGCCATGGTTTTAACTTCCTTATTTAGTTAAGCAACCAATTCGCAGAAGTTTGCGATTTGTTTACAAGCCGGGTAGAAACGTTTGCATGCCAGCTGTTCTTTGTGACAGGCTGGCAACACGGTAACCGCAAAGTGAGGCCTATTGGCATGCATTCCATTTGTATTGTATGAATAATATCGCGTAGTACAAAATCATAAACAGTGATTCACTGCGGGGCGATTGTCAGGATTCTTATCTAGACGGGAGTCGAGCGCGCGTTTAACTTCCAAGTTAGGCAAAACAATTAACAAGCGTTTCCGATTTGCTTACAATCCGGGTAGAAATGCTTGCAAATCAGCTGTTCTTTGCGACAGTCTGGCAACGTCGCAGCCGCAACGTGTGGCCAATTGGCGTGCGTCTCATTTGTATTATATGAATAATCTCGCATAATGCAAAATCATAGGTAGCAAGAGATAGCGGGGACACAATGAGTATCTACCACGACGAGGTCGAGATTGAAGATTTCGAGTACGACGAGGAGGAGGAGATGTACTACTATCCTTGTCCCTGCGGCGATCGATTTCAAATTTCCAAGGTAAAAGCGCATCAAAAACCAACTTTTGGCTGTTACTAATAAACGTTTGTTGCTGGGCAGGAGGAGCTTATCGAGGGCGAGGAGGTAGCCACTTGTCCGAGCTGTTCGCTTATCGTAAAAGTGATATACGACGCGGTAAGTATTTATCCATATGACTTCAATAAATAGCTGCTTCACAATAACATTTTAACTTATGTGAATGTCAGGACATGTTTAAAGCGGAGGAGGATGAGTCAGCGGTGCTCAATGAAAAGCTAAGCGAGTTGAAGCTGGAGAAAAATTAAGCTACCGGCTGCTAATTAATTTTGTATTTAATTAAATAGGGTTTTATTTGTATACTTCCCTTTATTGTAAATAATATGTTGACTAGTAAACAATTAGTTTAAAATATACATTAGAGAAAAAATGTATGGTTTGTGTATACTTTTTTGTTGAATTTCGGGTGAGGTTTTTATGTTTAAATATACAAAGGATTAATAAATAAACTAAATATGCCAGACAGCCAATAAGCGCACAGATGGTCATATAATGTAAGAAACATTGACTGTGCTGCTTAAACGTAACTTGTTCTTCTTATTGACTGATCAGCTTAAAATACAACTCAAATAAATATATAAATATATTGCACTGAGCGTTATTCGGCTACAAATGGTAGAGGTGAGCGCGTTGCGTTCAATTTAAATATATAAATTTTGAAACAGAAGGAACTATTTTAAGTACGAGTTATGTGGAAATGTAAATAGTTACATGGAAATCATGCTGCATGGACTGTGCTCGCCTTCACTTTCTGCTTATCAATTAGAAGTTCGACTTAAATATAAGCTTCAGATATTGTTTCAAGTCATGCTGCTTTTATAGAGAGCGTACTCCTTCAGCTTTAGATGAATATACGCATAAATGCCGGCATGTAGGCGAAAAGTGGTTCATGTGCTACAGGGGTTAATACTTTGTTTCTTGAATGTGCTGATGTGCAGGTCCATATTACTGTTCCAGCCATGAACCAGTGATGTTATTTGGAGACTTTAGCTATAATTAATAACAGACTAATGAGTGTCCAGTTACATGGGAAGGATCACACTCACCTTAATGTTGAACTGCTTCAATGTGCTCTCCAGTGCCATGGCATTGCCCGAGAAGTACGCGGCAATGGCATTGTGCAACAGAATGAGCTGCTTGTGCATCACTTTGATCTGCATGCAGTTGGAAATGTATTCGCATTAGTTTAACATATAGAATAGACTGCGAACAAAACTTACGCGATTCTCATCGAGAAATTGCATTTTGATGGCTACATCACCGCGCAGCTTTTCGTATTGATCCTTGTGATGCGCATAGCTGCGCTGGGTCTCTTCCAGAGAAGACGCCGCTTGGGTGATTTCTGGCTTTGTGTTCTCCAGATCCATTCGATAGGCATCAAATTCGATTCTGCAAATATTGACAAATCAGTTGAAGACATAATTTATACTATATAGGTTATAAGGATTTATTGGCCTACCTAGCCGTCTCGTATTGTCGTATCGTTAGGAGGGTATCATCTATGGTCTTGTTGCATAGCGTATTCACCGATGAGATGAAAAAGTTTAACGCATTCAAGAGTAATTCGCCATTTTTGGTCAAGTTTCGTTGCGTCTCCGAATTGCAGATGAACTCCTTCTGCAGTTCGGGATTTTTTTGCGCCAGATCAGCAAAGGCGTCTGCCAGTGATTGCTGCGACACCACAACGTGTTGGAAATGTGAGCTGAAGGCGCGCGTCAATCGTAAAATGGACAAATATTTTCGTTGGGTATCGCGCAGCTGTTCGATTTGCGCCTCCAGATCCGAGTCGACGGTGCGCTGTGATTTCCCCAGCTTCTCGAGCATTATCTGACGCGTGCACTTGTACGTTGATATGCTCCAGTTCTTGATGCTATCAATCTTGGAAGCGCTCGTCCGTATCAGGCTGCTGCTGCCGTCTGCTGATGTTAGGAAACCGTTGCCCGTTTGTGGACTTATAGGTGACATGGGTGTGGTGGGCGCTGCGGAAGGAATGCCAACACAAATTCCAAATGTTATCCATGGTTAATGTATATATGAGGTTAAACGACACACCTGAATGGTTTCGTAATGGCAAACTGGCGGACGTACTTAATGGGATGCCTGTTCCAATAATGTGACTGCTGGCGCTGCCGCTTATCCCCATCATTCCCAGGCTGCCGCCTTCCGTGCCAGTGTGCACGGCACCGCAGCTGTCGTTCATCGATGGTGTGTCTTTAAGCATTTCATGTATGCTGCGCTCACGTTCCGCCATGCTTGCTATCCTCGTTGCCTTATCAGTGAGTAATGTACTTTAATTGCACCAGAAAAATCGTTTACTGGGTCTGGGTCTGAGGGGTAGCGACGGAGACGATTTGGCTTGTAGTTGGCCACAGGTGAACTTAAATCGATATCACACGGTAGATGGAGCGTTCTAAATTATTTATCGTATGTTATGCACACCAAGAAAAACTATTTGCAAATGCAGCACTGCCGCAATAACAATTTAAATTTATTTTGAGCAAAGAAAAATTATAGAATTAAAAGGACCCGGTGTGACCGACTGGCAGGTTATGCGAAAATACCACATTTTCGACATAAAAGACGTGAACACTTGACGATTGCTTAAATATCAATAAGGCACATAAGCTTACCACTTTAAGTTACAAGAGTTATGCTGAGCAATGTTAAAGGTGTAATTTGCCATCTAAATAAAAAAAACCGTATATAAGTATATTAGCTTGTTGCAATAATGCAAAATAGTAGATGTATCTAAATTTAAAAATGTGGCAGCACTGAATTTTTTTGAGCGGTGTGGTAACGAATGGAAATAAGTTATGTGAATGGCAAACTAAAACATCATATATTTTAGGGGGATTTCAGACAAGAGGAGCTGTAAATCCCTTATAAAGGGATATAATAGTTCAACAACGCTATAAACCAGTGAGAAAAAATATAAATAGTCAATCTGTGATTGCAGCAACTATATGCGAGGACTGAAAAATGGTTTATATACAATTCATAATGAGCATCGGCTGCGTAATTGCAGCTGCAGCCGCTGCAATTTATTTTAGTATGCCTGCAAGGGTGCCCTCTTATCAGTCCAACACAGGCAGACGTCCCAATGACGACGACGATAACGATAGTGGAAGACAATGCAAAAAAGATGGCAAAGCGCAGCGTTTTCGAGCCAGGTAAATTCATGAGCCTCTTGTGTTTTCATAGTCTTAATTGTAATCTGTTTTGCATTTTAGCAAACCCGGCGACAAGTGCATCATTTGCCTAAAGGTAATGACAGCCCAGACGATGCATATAATGAACTGCGGTCATGCGTTGTGCGAAGCTCCATGCTTTGCACAATACCGCGAGTGGGATCGCTACTGTCTGTATTGCGAAAAGCTTGTAATACGCATCAATGTGCCCGGCGATGACTGCTGCATCTGCTGCGAGCCGATGTCGCCAGAAACCATTGAGTACTTGCCGTGTGAGCACGCTCTACACAAAATATGCCTGAAGTCATATAAGAAAGAAAATTACAAAACTTGTCCCCTTTGCTCAAAGAAACTTTAGCGACTTTATAGACAAAAGATAATGAATACAATAATGAGAACTAAAGCAATATCAAAACACTAAGGCGCACACTTAGCTTTATATATATATATGCATAGTTATTATGATATCAATAGGTTAAGTGCCTTCTTATAGTGTTTACAAATTTTATTGAAAACAATAAACGCTGTCTAAGTTTTTTATCCTTCAGCTCCTAAAACTGATGTAGGCTGCGAACGAAGCACGAGCGTGTCTCTATGATGCTTGGATTATTGGCTCAGACCAGGCTCGGCCAGCTCCAAGTGTTCGCTAAGCACAAGGCCGTTCCTGCTATGGTTGACCTGCTGATCCTGGCTAAAATGAAAGAGCGATTTTAGTTTTTCCTCCATTTGAAATTGTCCACCACTTATATGGACAGATCCAGGCCGCCAGCCAGAACGCTGGCGTAATCCTCAGCGGTCAGCCAGGGCATCACAATGGAGACGATTTGTAACTTTTGTGGAGCGTTACAAATTTTTTTCTCATGTGTTATTCACACCAAGTAAAGTTATTTGTAAATGCATCGCAGACGCAATTGCAATTCAAATTAATTTTGAGCAGAGCAAAGGAAAATAATTAAAAGGACAGTGTGTGACCATTTGCCGGCTATACGAAAATACCACATTTTCGAGTTATGTCGAATTTCAATAAAGCACATACGCATACAACTTTTGTTACATTTCTTACGATGAGAATTGCTAAAAGTTAAATTTACCAATCTAAATACAAAACAAAAACATATATAAATATGTTAGCTTGACACACTAGTGTAAGATAGTAGTTGCGTATAAATTTAGAAATGTGGTAGCACTGATTTTATTTGAACCGTGTGGCAATAAATGTAAGCACAATATGTGAATGGCAAACTACAACAAATATTTATATCAATAAGGCACAACAGCTTACAACTTTTGTTACATTTCTTACGATGAGAATTGCTATAAGTTTAATTTGCCAATCTAAATTTAAAACAAAAACGTATATAAATATGTTAGCTTGTCACACTAGATGCACATAAATTTGGAAATATGGTAGCACTGATTTTATTTGAACCGTGTGGCAATAAATGTAAGCACAATATGTGAATGGCAAACTAAAACAAATATTTATTACAGGGGGTTTTCAGACAAGTAGAGCTGCAAGTCGCTATATTCAGTGAGAAGAAATAAATATATTTTACTTGTGATTGCGACAGCTATATACGGAGACGAAAGCATGGATAGTATAAATATTGTTATGAGCATCTGCATGATTGTTGCAGCAGCTACATATTATTTTAATACTCGGACGTCCCACTCTGGCACACACTTTGCAGAACGTCCCAATTATCACGTCAACGTTGTTAACAGACCAAGGCAAATACAGCGTGTTCGAGACAGGTAAATGCTTGCGATTCCTGTTGTTTTTTTAGAGACAGCTAATTTTAATCTGACGCAGACGTCCGGACATTTGCGCCGTCTGCCTACAGCCAATGAATCCAGGCAATATGCATAGAATGAATTGTGGTCATGCGTTGTGTCAACATCCATGCTTTGTTGAATACCGAGAAACGAGCCGTGTATGTCCGTACTGCGATCAGGTTGTGATGCGCCTTAATGAGCCCTTTGACGATTGCTTCATCTGCAACGTGCCCATGGAGTCGGAAAACATGCACTACTTGTCGTGCGAGCACGCTCTGCACCTTACATGTCTTCATTTACATAGGAGAAATAATTATACTTGTCCCAATTGCCCAAATAACAGCTAACGTTATCTATACCTATATAGAGAAAGGGTGTTGAGTTCAGTACCAATGCCAACGAATGGAATATCGAAACACTTTAGGGCGCACCCTTCTCTTTATACCTAACATGTTGTCTATATGTTGAATGCTTCCTTGTAGTGTTCACAAATTTTATTGAAAGCAATAAACGCTGTCTAAGCTGCCTAAAGAAATGCTTCCAGTACGGGTGCAGCACATTGTCGCCAATTGTCACGCCAGCGCAGCTCCTGAAACTGCTGCAGGCTGCGAGCGAAGCGCGAGCGTGTCTCTATGATGCTTGGATTATTGGGGAAGTGCTCAAACCAGATGCGCAGCTGTTCGGCCAGCTCCACATGATCGCTAAACACAAAACCGTTTTCGCCATGCTTGACCAGCTCGTCTAGGCTAAAAGGGAATAGCGAATTTAAATATTATGGCTCGAAGCTAACCTCCAACCACTCACCATTTGAAGTTATATGCACAGACGGGCAGTCCGCTGCCAAACATGTCCACCACTTTCATTGGCAGATCCAGGCCGCTGGTGCTCCAGTGCAAGCACACGCCGAGATCGGCGCTGGCCAGAACGCTGGGATAATCATCAGCCTCCAGCCAGGGGGTCACAATGGACACCTTTTGCCAATGCATTTTAGCGATTAGCGCTTCGTAATGCGCTTTTTGCGGCCCTTTGCCTGTGATGATGCACAGCAGAGATGGATAGACTTGAGGTTCATCTACAGCAACGCACTCATATGACTCCAGCGCCTGCAGCAGTATGCCGAAATCCTCGTCCGGGGTCCAGCTGGTGCTGGATACAAGTATCGCTTGCCGTTGCGGCTTGTACAATACAGTGCCGTTGGCCAGCTTTTGCGTAAGCGATGTCGATTCCAACACGCCGGACTGTTTCAGATCCGCATAGCACTGCGGCATGAATTGCGCGTAATCTTTGGATAGCTTCATGAACAGCTCGTGCTTTTGGGCCAGTTCAATGGGATGAAACTGCGCCGGCGCCCGATCGTACAGCACAGTAACGGGCCTGCAAGCAAACAGTCAGACATGGGCGAATGTTACTCCTGTGCTCCTTAGCTCACCCAATGTTCCAGTTGCGCTGCAAATCTTCCTTCATGGCCTTTGTGACACAGAAGTGTGTGTGCGCCTTGGCGCCAAAGTACCGTTCCAGCCGTTTTGTCAGGCGAATAAGCCGGCTCTGCTCGCCGCCGGCCATACCCAGCGCCAACACCGTGTAGCTGTAGTTGTGCCAGTCGATGACTAGCTTGGTGCGCGTCAAGGCGCAGTAAAAATAGCAGACGACCAACGTAGGTATGCCGGGTGGATTCTGTACTAGCAGAAAGTTGGGCCGACGTATGGAGATTAACGCCATCAGCAAGCTCAACGTTTGCCAGATCGCCTTGAAGAGCAGCCTCAGTTTTGGTGTTAGATTTGTGATGGGCACCGCTGGAAGCTCGTGTATTTTGCACTTGGGCTGCGCCACAGTTAACACATCCAGCGGTCGTGTCTCCATGTATCCAATTATGTCCACATTGTAGTTTTCCTCGAGTAGACTCTGCGCATGGTATTGCATACGTGGACTACGTCCGATATCGCCCAACACAATGACGCAAGCGTTTCGTTTCCTCAGTTGTAGCTCCACCATTCCGCTACTGTTGTTGCCCCAGCTCTCAACTGGATGTTGCCTGTTGCACTTTCTTCGGCAGCTTCTTTTAGCTCAATGCAGCTGAAATGCTGTGTGGATTTTAGTTGTTGTTGGCTAAATAACTCGTCATTGTGGTGGTGCAGCGATATGAGCACTAGCTGATATATCGATAATTATTGAGTGGGAAACAGCTGTGCAGCGCAGTGTGACCATATAGTTGTCGGTATGTTAATCAGCATTCAGTTAACAGTTCAATTGAGCATAACGGATTGTTGTCAGCACTATTGAGTCATTTACAGCTGTTAACCGCGCACAGTTTGACGCCATGGTCTATGTTAAACCATTTCAAATGTTCTCTCAATGTTGATGTGCAAGGACGTGTCGCGGCATAACGTTTAAGAATTCTTTGTATTATGCGTGTGTGCTTAAGGTGTTAAAACTGTGCGTTTGTGTGTGTGAGTGTGGGTTTGGGTGTCACTTACTGAATGCCCTCTAAGGCTATAACAACAAATGCTATAAAATGAATAAGTGTAAAGTGCACAGCTAAATTAACAACAGGAAAAACAAAAACAACAACAGCGGCCACAGCTAACGGTTAAAGCTGTCTGGCCATTGTTTTTGTTGCCGCCTGCAATGCGGCAAAATTTGCCGGTAAGTGAATGAACCAAATATACGCAATTTTGTTTTGGTATTCCGGTTTGTTGTACATTTTCGCCGGCACAACAAAGCGACCGCCCAAAATACAACCACACCGCCAACCGCCCCGCCCCCATCCACAGCAGCTATTGCAGGTTGGCGCCGTCGCTGTTTCGAAATTCTGTCAGACTACCCGCAAAAATGTCAATTGTGTGTTAGTGTATGGGTGTATGTGTATGTGTGTACATTTTTCTGTATTTGTTGTTCGCAGCCATTGACTATGGCAGCGCGCTAAAAGTATGCAGCATTGATTTTGTTTTATTTTTTTAATTTTTATATACATGTAATATTGTAATATTTGGTTTTAAATATTGCCAATTTTTGCATTCACAGCAGCTGTTTCAGTGTGTGTGTGTGTATCGTATAACGGGATATACGCGCCATGTTACGAGTGAGTACACCTATACGCACACACGAATACGCATTCACACACAAACACACGCATATATATTTTATATTTGTATATATATATATATATATATATAGTTTATCCCATTAGAAAACTGTCTGCAGCGTCTGCGTCGCCAGACGAGACAGTAGCATGACCCGCCTCCCAACCGCACCCCACTTGCCGCTTGCCGCTTGCTCAATCGCAGCGCAGGCAAATAGCCCAAAAGCCGCCCAGAGAGTCAAATCCAGAGCCACCCCCAATGACTGAATGACTCCAGGCACACACAGGAACTCCGGACTCGGACGGCCAGATGGCGAAATGGTTGGGTGGTTGCTCCTTGTGGGCTTGGCTTGCAACTTCATGTCGTTGATTTTTGATTTCTGTGCAGCTTTTTATTGCGTGTCTGAAGTTTTGTGCCGCGTTTTGTTTCACATTTGGCATAGAAAAGTTGCAGCGAGCGTCGCCGGTCTAGACACCAACCCGGTGTCATATTTGCATATATATATATATACATACATCTACATATATATATATATATTTGACCGTGTTTGACATTTAAAATCGGTCTCTTCGAAAACCCATATAAAAATATATATCAACTATAACTAGAATATATATAAATTATAGGGTCGGAGATGTCTCCTTCTATGCGTTAGACATATCAGAAAAAAATTATAATACACTCTACAAGGATATAAAAAGATAGAAAAAATTCCGGTATCTAGTCGCGGTTAGCCTGTCCCCAAAAGGGCGCTGCTACAAAATTTAACCACCTTATCTGATGCGGGTATAAGTATTAGAAGTTTCAGAAGTAGAGATTGGCGCGGACAGGCACGGATACAAAACGTTTATCTTTTTTATCTTGTTGCAATAAGCTCCCACACCTGGCTTTCTGCACGTTCCTTTCCTATTCATTTCATTTGAAGGTCCTTATTTTTTAATGCTATTTGTTGTATAAATTGAGTCCTTAGTTTTAATAAAATTGCTTTTGATCAAAGACAATACAATGTTTATGTTGTCATTGGTTTAATGTTCCTAGCACGAGTTTTTACAAAAATTGAGGTTTCTTTGCGTTTGATATGAGAATATATGCATATGTAAATTCCCACATACTCACAGATATATTCACATAAATACCTATTGACATGCTTATTTGAACGCATAGATACACTCATTCATACAAACATGCTTATACAGATACCTTCATATACACATACATATTTACATAAATATATATTTAAACAAACATGTATAAATACAAACATGCATACATACATACATGTGGACAAGCGGTCATACATAAATACATACAACTTAACACTTATATTCACAGTAAGAAAACTTGTACGTTTTACTTGAATTTATACGAATCGCATAGTAAGGCGACATTTAGTGATTTTTTATTTGATGCGCAGCGAGTTGAAAGTTTGATCTGCAATTGGTATAAGAAAGGTAAAAACATACACACATACATACATACATACATATATACATACATACATACATACATACATAAAGTTTGCGTAAAGTTAAAAACAAGTTCTTAATCAATTATCAAAAATAACTTTGAAGCTGATTGAGTGGTAAATTCAAATGTTTCATGCAACCATTTCCGAATATTTTCACATAAGCTAACTATTGTACAAAATTCAGCTTATCAGATCTTACAGCTGGAACTGTGCGCTGATCATCAATCAGTCAGTCAGTCAGTCAGGACAAAAAGTCTATATTTGTGAAGCTAACTAATTGAATATTTATTTTGTGTCTCTTACAGCTTGGTAAAACATATCACATCGGATTATATACACATATATGACTGCAAGTGAGCAAAAAGCTGCACAGAAAACTAATCAGCAATAAAAAAGAAAACACACGCATTTAAAAAAGTTAGCGATCTCTTCTTAAATCGTTTTTATCGTTTCGTCGCGGCTAATTGGACTAACTATAATTAACTGCGAGCAGCGTGATAGGTAAGTTTCCATAATTGAGAGTAGATTAATGCGGCATCAACGGCGATTGCCACTGCAATGTGTACTATGTGGCATGCCGCGCGAGAGCTTCATTTGAATAATTTGCAGCGGCGAGATGCTGTGGAGAATGTGGCGGCGCGTGTCTAGACGCGACAACAACTAACGCAATTTGTTCAGGGAGCAGAGGTGGGGTGTGTGCCCGCGTGTGTGACTGTGTGTGTGTGTGTGTGTGTGGTGAGGATGGTGGGGGGCACAACCAAAGCGACCGCTGTGTGCAGCTGCCTGGCAAAAACTCGTGTATCCTAAACAAACTTCCGCCTCGACGGCGCACATACCAAATATGTAGCTTGGCTATAATTAAAGATGAGCGAGAGGGCGAGAGAGAATGGAGAGAGGTAGACGGGGCAAGTGAGACAGCGACAAGTGCATGCCCAGTTCTTTTGCGGCTATTTTGGTTGTTTGTCTTGTCTTCTCTCTCGCTCTCGCTCTTTCTCTCTCTCTCTTTCTCTCTCTCTGTGTGTGTCTCTAGGAGACACTGAGCTAACAATCGGCGCCAAGTGCCCATGTGACATTTGCCCAAAAGCAGAAAAAATAGAAAAACAGACATGCGACACATGTGCGCCTCGAACTTTAAAGATCTGTGAGTTCTATCTGGCATTACTTTAGCTATCTGCCTGCAGTTCAAGTGCGTTCAAATTTAGCAGCGGATGTTCTCGGACAGACGGTCGGACGGATGGATGGTCGGACGATACGTGGTCAGCTTCATTCATTGATCACAGGGACACACGTGAGAAATCGTTTGCCTCGGGTTACTCGTGGTTTAAGACAAACGCTTGAACTCCCGAATCTTTTAAAGGTGATTTTTAATATGAACACAGAACAAACACAGTCAACTAACGTCAAAGGTTGCGTGCACTGAAAGAATAAAAATAGGCTGCAAAAGTAGGCTGCATTTAGAATAGGAAATATGACCGAGAGTAAATACTTTACAAATATATTCCCAAGCTTGGCTATATTATTGAGGTACTTTGAACTTTTAATATTTATTTTTGTGTTGCCACACTGAATGGAATTATTAATATTTTTCTATGGTTAGTTATATTCTATTTTTTGTGTTCCCACACTGAACGAAATTATTAATATTTTTTCAAATATAATATATGGTTAGGTATATTCTAAAAATGCAGTGAAAAGTCTCAGCGATTGTCATATAATTGCCTAATTGAGGGGAAATGAATTTGGCCTGATTTATAATGGCTTGTGATTTATAATGGCTTCTCTTATCGTTATTGTACATTTTGCCTGTCATATATATGCTCACATTCAAAATTAGTCGTAAAACCAGAGCTGGCATTACGTTCGCTTCAAGCAAATTTCGCTTCTTGGAAAGAATTGAGTGGACAAAAGGCAAAACTAGGCTGCAAGTGGCCAGCACTAATTGCTGGGGGTGTGGCAAAAAAAAAGCGGAAACCACTACAGTGACAACTAGCTACGGCGACAAGTCCAAAAGTGAAGCGAATGACGTTGATGGCGAGTTGACCAGAGTTTCCGACGAGCCGTACTCCTCGTTGTTTTGCTTATTGTGGGGAAATGGAGCGTTGGACAGTTGGAATGGAATGGGATGGACTCTGTCAACTGCAGCGATGGCGACTAAAGAAGAAGAAGAAGAATTTTTGCAAAGGTGCAGCAGAATGTGGGTTTGGTGGGGTGGGTTTCGGGTGACGCAAGTCGCGTCAACTGCAAAAGTATTATTAAGTGGAGTAGCTGTCGTTCTTGTTGTCGTTGTTGCTGCTCCTCAACTGGCGTTGCTGCTGCCTCCGGGCAACATTTTGCACCTTTCACGTTTATTGTGACATTATGCTTTTAATAATGGACAACAACAATAATAACAACGGCAACGACAACAAAAACAACACGAACAAAGCAAACACGTTTTAGAACAACTAGCGATAGGGGCAGAAGGTTGTGCGAGGGGCATAAAAGGAGCCACCGACTTCTGTTCTTGGTTAGTTTTTAGTGGCTGCCACTTTTTTCACTGTGTGTTTTTGATTTTGGTTTTGCTTTTATACCCCCGGCACAAGGAATGTCTAAAAATGGGCATAATAATGTTATGATAGAGGGATTTCCGATTCTATATAAAATATATACTATATGCTAAACATTAGACTGAAAGCTAGGTAGCTATATATATATATATATATATATATATATTGGTATATAGTTTTTACTCAAATTGTTACTAACTAAACTGCAGTTGAATGAAGAGTAAATTTTAAACTTATTTCTAGAGAGAATACTTGGATTTATTCATATTTTTTTTTGTGTATATTTCAATTTGGCGGCTCTTGTAAAAAATCCGAGACTATGATAAACAGTACAAAACCTTTTTCAAAAAAACCTTGACTTTTAGTACACGTATTCTTACACATTTAAGCTCAATATTTTAGCGATCGCATAATAAATACAGAAATTACTAAGGAAACTATTTTCTGTTATAAGAAGTTGATGCTATGGCAGGGTATCATCGAGTCGAGCTCGCGTAGCTAAAGAAATATTTCGTGTGTCCTTTTTCTTTCTTTCAGTATGCTTTAGCATTTTGTTTTGATTAAAATTGAACCGCAGACCCACAAAGAGTAAAATAGAAAAACCAGCGTGGTAAAGAGAGAAAAGGCTTTGTAAGGGAAGGGAAAGGGGCTTGAACTGCCGCAAAGTTAATGGAAAGATTGGAGTCTACTGGAAAAAATACTGATTAAAATGTTCAGTAAATGAAAATTAACAGATGTAAAGAATCTGCCAAAAAAAAGATTAAAGGAATAAATATGAATAAAATAAGTACTCTAAAATTAATCAAAATCCGTTTGCTGTGAATCATTATTTCATAATACTGCAGTATCGATATGATATGATATAATTGCTATAATGGTATTACGGCAAAGTTTCTTTCTGTCGCAGCTTTAGTTTATTTAATACTTTTAGGTTCTGAACTGGGCCTTAAGTATTAAGATGGACATTAAGAAAATTACATTAATTTTTTTTTGAAAATTTAAGGAATAAAATTAAAGATCTACTAATCGTTGATAAAAAATAACTAAATATTTTCTATATTCATATGTAATAAATATAATATAAAGTTGAATTACATATATTTGCGAGATTTCATTATAATAAATATTGTTAAAAACGAGAAAGTTAGGATATCTTCAGCTTGCCGATGATTTAATACCCTTGTAAACATTTGCCTTACTGATTTGCAGCGATATGAGAATAGTAAAGTTCGTGAATTCTGAGTTTGGTGGAAAACAGAATATTATGCCACAAAACTCATTTTTCGACCGAATTCTTTCTTTAGTGCTATGTAAAATAGTAGTGTTATATTGATAAGATTTGGATCATGTTTAAGTATTTTAGTCTAACTGATGCCAGGTTCGGTCCAGATATCTTGATAAACAAAACAGTTTCTCGTGTAAGCACATAAATTTCGAACGATCGATCATGGGTAGCTATATGATATAGTGCTCCGATGTTGATAAGATTTTGCATATATGTAAGGAGCAAAGCATTTTCGAGTTTGGTCAACCTTGTTTGCTGTTCGTTTCTATGGGAACTATATGATATGGTGGTTAGATCCGGTTCGTTGTTATGTCAAAAGGAATCTATGCAAAGTTTCAAGACGAAACCTCTATAACTGAGGTTATAGCTCTTCATGCTGATCTAGAATATACATACTTTATGCGGTCGGAGATGTCTTCTTCTATGCGTTATATGAACAAATTATAATAACCCCTCTACAAGTGTATAAAAGGGAACGGTAAAAATTAGAGGGAAAATCTAAGATCCAGCTTAATGATTTTAGAATTGGATAGTTTTAATGTTGAACTTGAGAAAATGTCGCTCTCAACTACAAATTTCAAGAATAACCTGTGATGCCTTTACTATGGTTATTATACTGCATTTTAACAACCCAATTAAAAAAAATTACGCATAAGAAGCTTAAAAACGACTACAACCAATATCAAAATGTGCAAAACACATATTTCTTATAAAAATGTAACGAGAAAATAAGAAAAAAATGTGAAAAACTGAAAGCCAATGTGAAGCTCACGTGCAACTTGACGGCTTGTCACTTTGTCTCTGCGGAGGGCACGGCGTGGGTGAATACGGGACGGAGGAGGGTTGGCTGCTCCCGACAGCACCTACACAAGTTGGCAGCTCCAATGCCGCAAGGTGAGTCATTTTGAGTGCCGAGTTTGGGGTTTGGCTTTTGGGAAATTGCGACTTCTTTTTTTTGCGCGCGCTGCAGCTGCGGGCCTCGACTTTGTGCCGTGGACGACGTAGTGTCAACTTGTGTTTGTGTTTATGTGTGTGTGTGTGTGTGTCTTTGTCTGGCAATTAAGATCTGAATTTACCAGTCGCTGTCGGCCTTTATGTAACAAAATATTTACACAGGGCAAAAAGGCTGGGATTAATTTGGCTTTTAAAAACTTAATTTTCGCCGTCGTTCAATTTTCAGTAGAGTCTTCTTGAAAAATGAGTCAATTTAGTTGACTTAAATCAAGTATTTCTTACTGAATTTAAGAGAATTCGAGCCTACAGCACCTGATTTGTTTCTGTGGCAAAAATGTGTAGACATTATTGAATCAACTCGCGTAATTTGTATAAAATGGCAAATATTTTGTAATTTGCAAGAATCTTGCTTCAATAGGAATTGAGTTGTACGCAGCCTGCCGCTGTTTTTCCATTTTCTTAACTGTCTTGTGTTGTTTCCCTGCTGTTCGGCTGGTTCCATTGTCGCGTTCTGTGGGGCTTGTAATCAAATAAATGAGTGTGCCCAGGTGCTCCCTGGATGGTACGTACTCCCCGTTTCCCCCTATGTTCCGTGTCAGTTGGTGCCTTGTCTTCATTATTGGCTTTGGTCTTCGGAGAGGCAGTCCTCCTGCCCAACCCGCGTGTTTCGGTTTTTAATGATGCGCAATTTGTCGTTAATTTTCGGCATTTTATTT